AGAAAAAGAAAAAAATCATCTTAAAAAGTCATCATTTCATATTTCCATTCTTTATAATTTTTTAATATTCTATAATAAAACATGTTGCACCATTGGTGAAGCCATTTTTCAGGTGTCATTCTAAACCAAGGTTCCATATAGATGTAAAAGGACCTAGGGCACTATTCAAAGAATAGCAGAGATTACTCCTTGGTGACTCAGCAAATATCTATCCCCCTAACCAACACCATTTCCTGGCTATTCATTTTACTGCTCCCTGAGGAGGTTTACTGTGCACAAATTGTTTGCTACATTGTTTGCTAATATTTCATACATTATGACAATGACTATACACTTCAAAAATGCTTCATTGATGCACTGGGAATCCTGAGGTATTGCAAGGTGCTATATGAATGCAAGTTTTTCTTTTATTTTGTTTCTTTCTGGAAGTGACAAACCACCAGAATTGTGGTAAGTTCTACGAAACATTGACCCTCAACTTTCCAAAAAGTCTTATCTGAAAGGTCGACATGTAGACCAGTAGTTAAATTGAAAGCCGTGGGAATGGATCAGCAATTGGTTGAAGGATTCATTTCAATGAGTACCCGTGACGCATGTTAAGCCTCAGTTGGGACAGTGCTGAATGAAGAAACTCAAGCCTCCACTTTTCAACCACTGTTTCCAAATAAGTGGATTCAGAAATGCAAAGTAATTAAATTAGTAGATGGCTCCAAACTAAGAGAGGAAGTTGAAACAGAGGAGGCAGTTGAGAAGTCACAGGATAATTTATGCAATTGTGTAAAGTTGGACATATATGGAAGTGGATTGGACAACAGCAGATGAAATTTAGTGCACATAAGTGTAAAGTAGATCAGAAGTCAATACTTAGTGTTTAAATATCCAAGAATGAAGCTGAATGAGACTGAGGAGTTGTCATTAACACAACATCAAGCTGATTCAGCATAGGAATGCACAAGACTAATAAATTGTTGAAATAAATAGCCCAGATGGTAAATCATAAGTTAGATAAGGTAACAATGACCTTTATACTTCTCTGGTCAGACTATCCAACACTGGTTGGCCAAGTGCTGGAGGTGGTCCAGAGATTATTGACAAGGCTGACTGTGCCAGGATGCCAGCGTTGTGGTTAAGTATTGATAAGAGTACACATGCAAAATAGTTAATGCTCTTCAAAAAGTACACCCAAAATATTGCTTTAGACTTGGGAGTGCCAAGAGTCTCATGTTCATGCTGGTATAATTAACTGATATTGAGAAGTGCTTCTTCAACATTCCGTACACAAGTATGATCGGTGTGTGTTGCACAGACTCTGACAGCATAGTGAGGGCATAATTCCTGTAATTAATCAAGAAAGTAAGAGGGATGGCAGAGCATCTGTTGATGGACAATATAAAATGACCAAATATCCATCCTCACCTTTTCAGCTGCACATGGAAAAATTTGACTATCCTGAGAAATTTATCATAATAATTTGGCAGTTTCATGATGATGTGTCCATGAATGGTCTGCTTGATAATGAGTTTCTGACACACACTCGAATCAGGCCTCTCTGGCTTATTTTCCTTTGCCATGTTCTCCAATGCCTCCCGTGATTGTGACCCTGAAATCAAAATTAGATATCGTGTGGATGTGAGGTGGCTCAGTCTGAGATGATTCCAGGGAAAGACCAAGGACATAATTGATTTCCTGTTTGTCAATGACCATGGACGAGATTCTGGTTCAGAGGTGGCCATGCAATGTGGCATTGACATGTTTTCTAATATATGCAACAACGTTGGCTTCATGATCAGTGCAAAGAAAATCGAAGCAATGTTCTGCTCCAGGAAAGCAACGCCTTGGTCCATGACTAGAGCCTGTCAGCAGTGGATAAGTTTACTTATCGCCATGACACACTCTCTTGATCCATTGACAACGAGCCAGAATTGCCAAAGCAAATGTAGCTCTCAGCTATTCATGCAGGAATGAAAAAGGAGTATGTCTGTCTAAACGGAAAGTCTCTAGAGCAATAACCCTGTCCACTCTGTTCTACATATGTGAGACTTTGGACCATACTGGCATCATGCCAAGAGGCCTTTGGAGGATTTGACAATCAGGTTGCAGGACAAAACACCAGACACAAGATGCTGACCCAGGCTGGCTTGCCATGCACAGGCTCCACAAAGCAATCTGGATGACCCAGAGAATTAATACAATTCACTTCAACCAGGGGCAACAACCAGAAGGAATTACGAAGCATCCTCCTTATATTTGACTGCCCACAGAAGTTCACCAACATCCTCTGCCTGCTGCACAATGATGTCAACGTGGTGACCCTCACGAAACAGATCCACCACAGACCTAATACGAGTGCAAACTAGAGTCAAGCAAGGCTGGGCTGTCACACCAACACTCTTTCCATCTTCCATAGCACAAACACTCCACCTATCTCCATGAAGCTCCCCGCTGGAGTGCAGCAAATCTACAGAACAAGTGGGAAACTGTTAAACAAGCATCACCTCCAGTCCATAACCAAGATTATCCTAACCGATTAGACGATGCATGTACTTTTGCATGTTCATTGGCCTGGCTCAAACCCATTGTCACTGTACACAGAGGTGTACGGGAGAATGTTCTTTAGGACAAACATCCAGAAAACAAAAGTTGTCCTCTACCAGCCTACCCCATTGCATAACACTGCTGCCCCCACCCCAAACTATCAAAATCCATGGCAAGCCAATCTTCATCCAATGGGTTCTGAATCTGTGGAATTCCCTGCTCAGTGAAGCATTTGAGGCTACCTTGTTGAATGCTTTTAAGGCAAAGACAGATAGATTTTTGAACAGTAAAGAAATTAAGTGTTATGGTGAGCGGGCAGGTAAGTGGACCTGAGTCCACAAACAGATCAGCCATGATCTTATTGAGCAGGCTCGACAGGCCAGATGGCCTACTCCCGCTCCTATTTCTTATCTTCTATGTTCATTGAACTCAATGGATCAATTCTCATACCTAGAATATCTCCTCTGAGCAAGGGCAGATATCAATGATGAAAGTTAACATCACCTTCAATAGACCAACACCAACTTTGGCCACCTGAGGAATACAGCATTGAACAGAGGCCTCAGTCCCAGTACCAGGATCATGATCTGCAGGGCATCAGTGTTACCTGCCCATCTGTATGCATCAGAGACATGAAAGGGTATAGCAGACTCCTCAAATCCTGAGAGAAATAGCACCAGATAATTCAATAGCAGGGATAGGTGCTTCTCTCTCAGGCCATCGAGGTACTGGTTCTATCAGCTGCTACATTGTCCATATGCTTGAACATTGTCTGCTTGCCAAAACAAGATCTCTCCTCTGAGCTTCACCACAGTTACCAGAAGCCAGAGGAAACCCATCAAGGATGTCCTCAAAGCCTCCCTGAGAAAATACAACATCTCCACCAACTTGTAAAAACCTCTGGCCAAGACTACCCAAATTTGAGAAGAAGCTCCTGCAAAGGAGCATCTCCTACAGGCCTGGGTGATGGAGCCATGCATAAACAGTGGAAGGAGTGTGTGAAAATTGGGGGTCATACCCACATACCCCTTCAAACACCACCTATTGCCCCAACTATTGCAGAGTGTGTGGATCCTTTTCATCGGAATCTTTATCAACTCAGGACCCACAACTCTAGAGTGGTCCTTAAAGCAACAGATAAGCACTTAAATCAGTGTTAAAGGGTACAAGCTTCATCAGCCACTACTATGAATCCCAAGTGTCCTTTTATTAACTATATATATATATATATATACATATATATATATACATACACACACACATACACACACACACACAGTTTTATGAGTTTGCTGAGATAAATCAATATCTCCAGGGAGGAACTGATTTCTTTAATCTTAGACATACATTGTCCAATGACTATACTTTTTTAATTACTTTAGAAATTAGATCACTCTCAATGTCCCCAGAACAATACACAAGTAGATAACTATTTGCCTGTAAGTTTTCTGTGAGTCACTTCTCAGGTGTTCAAGGAGTTGGTTGCCAGACGGATAAATAGAAATCTTCATGAAGGGTGGTACTTAATCCGTGTTACTAAAATAGATACTTTTCGTTTTGAAGAAAATAGTCCTACTTGTTTGAAGACAATAGGTGTTGATGTGAAGTTTTATGAAACAAGTGGATACATTATAATTGAAAAACCCTGGTTCCCTGGTGTGGTAATATACCTGATACATTTCCATTCAACACCTATTAAATAGAACTATCATACTTCAATGTAATTAGCTGTAGAGCTATCACACGTAGCTTTAATAATATCCAATAACTCTATTAGTAGACACTGATTTTCAAGATTTCTCTTCCAGTGTTCATGTCATAAACTATTGCAACACAGAAGAAGGACCTTTTGTTCTGATTCTTTGAAAGCTATCTAACTAAACACACACCCCTGCTTTTTGCCCATCATCTGTCAGGGGTTTCTTTTAAGTATCTATTTAATGCCCTTGACACATTATTGAATCTGCTTCCACCACTCTTTTAGTTAGTGTATTCCAAGATCAGAACAACTTACTGAATAAATTTTAAAAATCATTTCATCTGCCTCAATGGCTATTTTTGCAAAGGCTGATAAGCCATTTAAGAATTCATAATATTTTTGTTAAGAAGAAAATGACATTAATGCGTCCCAAGGGGGCTTTTTTCAGTGGAACATATGAGGTTATCAAAGCTTAGAAAATAATGAGGGGTATAGATAAAGTTAATGGTAGATGTCTTTTCCCTAGAATGGGGCTTTCAAGATCAGGGGGCACATTTTTAATGTGAGAGAGAATAATTTAGAAAAGACATGAGGGGCAAATTTTTTACACAGAGGGTCGTTCGGGTGTGGAATGAACTTCCTGAGGAAGTGGTGGATGCGGGTACAACTACAACGTTCAAAAGACATTTGGATAAGTAAATGAATGGGAAAGGTTTGGAGGGATACGGGCCAGGGGTAGGCAGGTGGGCTAGTTTAGTTTGGGATTATGTTCGGCATGGGCTGGTTGGACCGAAGGGTCTGTTTCCAAGCTATATCACTCTATGGCTATGACTCTAAGAATGTATAAAACATTGCAATGTACTGTTTTAGGAAGCACAATTGTTTAAATGTGTAATGAAAGCATAGGATTTGACAAAACAGCCTCCAGCTGTAGCTAAAGTCAGCATTTTGTAGGTTATGCTTCAGGACCAAGCATGGTGATGGAATGTTAAGAGGGGTGACAATTCAAGGAGTACGCTTTCACAGATTATTGGTAATTATCCTTCTCTTCTTCTCAGTCCAGAGCCCTGAATTGATCCCTACGAGGAAATGTGTCAACTCCTACTCAAAGGGAAACGAATACCAATGTAATGGGTTTACCATCACTTTAAGTCCTCCTTAAAATCATACACTCCTGGACAAATACAAACAAGGAACAAGAGTAGGCCACTCAGCCCTTTCAGCCTGCTCCACCATTCAATAAGATCGGGGCTGGTCTGACCTTGACGCTACATTCCTGCATAATAATGTTTTGTCCCCTTGGTCATCAAGGATCTGTCTAACTCTGCCTTAAAAATATTTAAAGATTCTGCACCATTTGAGGAACCAAGTGAGCAAAAGGAATGTTTCATCTTGTCTTAAATGGATGACCCTTTATTTTTAAAATATGAACCCTAGTTTGAGTTTCCCTTACAAGAGGAAACATCCTTTCAACATACACCCAATTAAGTCCCCTCAGGATCTTATATGTTTCAATTAAGTTACCTCTGACTCTTCTGAACTCCACAGGACACAGACCTAGTGTCTCTAGCCTTTCCTTATAAGGCAATCCACTCATTCCAAGTATTGGTCTAGTAAATCTGCTCTGAACTGTTTGCAATGATTAACATCCATCTATAAATTACCATTATTTCATTGCTGTTGTGTCAAAATCCTCGAATCTCCCACCTGACAATATCAGGATTGTACTTTTACTGTAAGACTTGCAACAGTTCAAAGAAAAGGTTTATCATCATCTTCTCTGAGCTTTAAGATTAATGTGGCCTTGTCAGCATCATTCATTTCCTGAAGTGAAAATATCTGCCTTTTTTGTTTCCCCCTAACTCTTCATGTACGGTCACTCTTCCTGAATATACTGTTCCAAACAAGGACTAAGAACATCACAATGCCTTACTGAATATACTGCAGCTTCAAGACTTTACATCTTTGTTTATGGGCTGTCATACAAATATCTCTGTCCATGCCAGGAAAAAAAAGAAGCAGACAGAATTAAGAGTCTACACAGTTGTAATGCATTATAAAAAGCATCCTTCTGTCTTAACGGAATAAATGAATCATTCACTCACTAAAACAAATGTAGCTGAATAACCTGTTAAATGTTGGACCCCAGCGACCCCCGGAAAATCAGGGTTTAAAATGTGTATTCAGATACAAAGATAGTCAGCCTGATCACTGAGCTCCCTCGGAAGTTGATGACAGTATTCACAGTGACCATTTCCAAATCCAGTACAATTTCCCGTGGTCCGCTGACTGGGCGGGTCATCACCAAGGTGGCACTGACAGGCCCCGTTTGCTGTAGGATTGGAAAGAAGTAAAAAGAAAAGCTTGTTATTTAAGAGCTTTCAATTGAGCACCCTACCCTTGGCGATTCTTCCTTTGGGGACATTATTTCTATCATGTGATAGGTCTCAAATTTCACAGAATTAAACCTTTGTGCAACAAATGCTGCCAGGAGAATTTGTGCTCACTGTCACAAGGTGTGCTCTGGGGTGTGGGGAATGAGGAAGTGCATGTTTCGGAGGGAAGATTCTACAACAAGGGCTTGAACAGTCAGTCAGGTTGGGGTAACAGTGATTGTTTTTACATTGGCTCTCCTTGGCTCAGTTAGGAAGTAAATTCATCCTAAAATGCTGATTTTTTTGGCAAATGGCCAGGGATTGATGCTAGTATTGCCAAATTAATGGCACATCAGTTCATACGTTATTACATGAGAACATAAGAAATTGGAGCAGGAGTAGGCCATCATGCCCCACCATCATTTCACAATTGCCTTTGTGGGACCACATAAAATTATGCCCTGAGAATGTAAATGTGATGTAGAAACCAGTCCGACTATGGAAGCAATATCCAGCCTTGAAAGGACTTGGGCTTAATAGTGACTTAAATGCTGTTTTCTTTTTATTCATTGGCAGGACATTGGTGATCCCTGGTCAGGCCAACATTCATATCCCTTCTCTAATTGCCCAGAGGGCAGTTAAGAGTCAACCATTTTGCTGTGAGTTTGGAGTCACATGTAGGACAGACCAGGTGAGGATGGCAGTTTCCTTCCCTAAAGGAAATTAGTGAACCAGATGAGTTTTTTCAACGATGGTTTCATGGTCATCATTAGACTGCTAATTCCGGATTTTGTTGTCTTTATTGAACTCAAATTGCACCAGCTGCTGTGGCGGGATTCGAACCCCAGTCCCCACAACATTACCTGGGTTTTTTAATTAATAGTCTAGCAATAATACCATCGATACCATGATAATATCATCGTCAGTCCTTGTGTTAGGAGGGAAGCGTGTAGCACACAGAAAAATACAAAATTACTTAGAGGCAAGTTGTCGAATATGAGTGATTTGATTGGTCCATGTGTTGAGGAAAGATAAGGTCAAGAATGTTGACTGATAAAAGGAAGAATGTGGCAGCTGTTGACTGGACTTACAAGAAACGCAAAGAAATTGCTTGCGAAAGAATGAAAGCATATAATAAAGCCAACGTGATGTATGTTTTGAGCCAAACTAAAATTCAGTCGAGCGTGTCATATCTATTTTAAGAAACACTTAATCAGATTAATGCTTTCAAATATATTTTACTTTTTACATTGGGTACAGCTATACAAGTCAAGGTCTTACCCTCATGTAGAACTCCCTGCCTTCATTCCCAGATTTGATCTGGAAGATGTAGTAGGCACCTGGGTAGCGAGTCGTGGCCTGCATTTGGAAAATATCCGAGGGCACATTCCTTCCTGACACAATGTCCATATACTTGTACAAAATGGTGAATGGCTGTTCTGTGCAGCCTGGATTCTCTCCATGACACATACAACGACTGCAACACAAGCAGGGAAGTAACAGTTCAATGGATAGTTTCCACAATGAGATGATACCCTCCCTATAAACACATTCAATCTACTATTTTTCCATGGGTTGGTGTCAACTTTGAGCTAAAAAGCTACTTCTCAATATGGCTATCCACCAGAGTACTCACTTTTCATTCAACTGTATATAAGGGTCTTGACATTTCACTGGCTGTAGACATTTGTATCCTCCTGGAATGTTGTAGCAGTTTTGTTCTTCTGTACATGTGTGATTTGCAGCCTCACACTCATTAATATCTAACAAATAGAAAAATATTGAGATACATATTGCGCACACTCTGGTCTGTGCAGTGGTTCAAGCGTCAAGGTTCTCCCTCCCAGTAAATGTCAACGGGATGTAGTGTTGTCAGCTTTGGCTGGATGCAACCCTAGACATTTCAACACATCACCTTTCTATCCAGTTGCCCCATACCTACACTTCCCTTAAAGGTAAAGATCAAATCACCATTGTCCCACTCTCTCATTAGACAGGGACAGTTGGTGGTGATTTAACTTGAGGGTCACTACACCTCAGGCGACGTTGCGAAGGTGGGACCATCATGGCAACCTCAGCTAAAGTGGGAATTGAACCTGTGCTGTTATCATCACTCTGCGTTGCAAACTAGCCATCCAGCCAACTGAGCTAACTAACTCTTGGTCATGTGACATGTCCGTCTTGCAGTCCCATCTCCCCAAATCAATCATAAAGCAAATTCTCCCTTACCCTGTTGGTTGATTTGGGTCCAGACAAACAGGCATTCTTTACCCCATACCCATTTCCAAAACCTTTAGAATTAACAAATGAAATGATTTTTTTAAAAAAATTACTTGAATATTTCTCCCATGGTTGCTCACAGCTTCATCCTAGACATTAACCTTTAATTCTCCAGAAGTTTCTGGTCAATGTTAGCCAGGCTGAATCGGTAGAGATTTTATGATAAGTGGCTCTTTGAACCTCAACACTGAGGTGGCACTATAAAAATTGATCTGGGCACAGTGGATTGGGTTCATGTGCTGTGCTCACTTAGTCCTTTGTGATAATGGGAGCATAGGAAGGAATTTTATTCCACTGTTAGATTGGTGACAGAACACCAGATGTTTTGGCCTTGTCTTCCCGAATGTTGTTGCTGTGGGATCTTCCTGTGGGATGCCGGTGTCTAAGGATTCAAGGATTTGCTGCCTGCGATATTGAAATGAAATGGACAGAAAGCAAATGCAAACCACACACTCACTGTTTCCCAATTTGAAGCCTTTGAATTGAGGCACCATGACTACCAAGGAGGATGGTGATGAGGGTGATGGCAGAAGGCTGTTTTGGTGACTGGAAGCCAATGTCCAGTGACATACCGGAAGGATCTGTGCTGGCTCCCCTATTATTCATCATTTATATAAATGGCATTGATGACTGTGAGGGGTGTTTGGATGAGTAAGTGTGCAGATGACTCAAAGATTGTCGGGTGATTGAGGTTGATCGTCTTAGGATACAAAAAGATATAAACGTGATGGTCAAATGGACGGGTTCCAGATAGATGGAATTTAACATTGAAAAGTGTGAGGTGATACACACTGGAAGGTGTAATTTGACAAGAAAGTGTTCAATGAACAGCATGACATTACGAAGTTCTGTGGAAAAGAGGGATCTTGGCATGTTTGGCCATAGATCTCTGAAGACAGAAGAGTATGTTAATGGGGTGGTTAAAAAGGCATATGGGACACTTTTCCTTATCATTTCAGGCATAGATTACAAAAGCAGGGAAGTAATGTTTGAGTTGTATAGAACTTTGAGACCATAGCTAGAATACAGTGTGCAGTTCTGGTTGCCTCTTTACAGAAAGGATGTGATTGCACTAGAGGGAGTGCAGAGGAGATTCATCAGGATGCTGCCTGGGATGGAAAATTGATGTGATGAGGAAAAGGTGGATAGGCTTGGGATGTTTTCATTGGAGCAGAGAAGGTTGAGGGGCAATCTGATTGACATGTACAAGATTATGTGGAGCACAGACTGAATGGATAAGGAGCAGCCATTCCTCTTAGTTGAACGGTCAGTCATGAGGGAACATGGGTTCAAGGTGAGGGGCAGGAGGTTTAGTGGTGATGTAAGGAAAACCTTTTTTTACCTAGAGGGTGGTGATGGTCTGGAATGTGCTGCCTGGAAAGGTGGTAGAGGTGAGTTGCCCACATGACACATCATAACATTCAAGACTACGGGCCAAGTGTTGGTACATGGGATCAGTTTAAAGGTCAGGTGTTTCTCATGTATCGGTGCAGGCTGATAGGCCGAAGGGCCACCCTGCACTGTATGGGCTCTATGATTCTATGATCTCTGCACAGTACGTGAAAATAACGGTGATCGACATAAGTTCACCAGTCCCCTTTCTTACTAATAAAAAGACGCAGGCCAGGATTTTCTCAGAGACAGACTGAGAGGCAGAAGGGATGGTAAAACTGCTACGACGGACACTGAGAGGTAAACTGAACGTATTCCAACTGAATGTATTCCAATTCTGGGATGTGGAACGGCAAAGGTTCAACTGGTCCCAGTTAACTGCACAGTTGGTGGAATCTGGAATGCATTGTCTGGGAGGGTAGTTGAGGCGGATAACCTTACAACAGTTAAGAAATACATGGACAAGCCCTCGAAAATGTCATCACATTCGAGTCCATGGGCCATGTGCTGGAAAGTGAGACTACTGTAGATAGGTCAGCGCAGATTCAATGAGCTGAAGGGCCCTTTCTGTGCTGTGTGACCCTATGACTATGACTGTGTTGGCTGTTTTACCAAGCTGCTGGCATTTTGCTCCAATTGGAACAGCAGCCTCTGCCCAAGGGGAGCCCACCAGCTGTGTGAGGTGGCATCCTGACAATAAGCAATGGCTTCAGAGGCTCCCTGCCAAGAAAGGCGTGGGGAGGGTGGGAGGGGGTGGTGTGCGCCAGGCAGCAACGGCCAACTTAACAACCCCTTCACAACCATTGCAGAGATTTCCCCTTAACCGCTGGGGCCTGCTTCCCACCCCCCAACCTGCTGCTCCTTCGTCAGGTGAAGAAGACAAGTACAATTTTGTGATTCAAGAAAAATTTAGAAAGGCACACGGATGGGATAGGTATGGACAGATATGGACCAAACGCAGGCAAATGGGACTAGTTTAAATTGTGAAAACTGGGCGCCATGAATAAGTTGGGCTGAAGAGCTTGTTTCCATACTGTAGACCTCTATAACTCTACTCCTGACAAGGTAACATGCCCAGTGACCAAAGTTGGGGCAAGACATGAAAGGTCAGCTCCAATGTGTTCAAAGAATACTTCAAGAGAATTCGTCCAAATATGCTGGGCACCTTAAATATGTGCAACGTCATGGGAAACCATCTTCAGTGTGTGCTAAGCTAAAAGTTCCAAAAATAATCCATCATGTTTTGAGCCTCAGAGAATCTTGTTTGGTGTGAAAGGTACAATTAAAAAGTAGAGGGTGTGCGGTATTTTAACTCCTAGGAGGAAATGTAATGCATGGACCTGCCCTGGAATCATTGTGAGCCTCATCAAACTGCGGGCCTTTGCTTTTCCTTGTGTGAGTTTGGGGCCATGACTGACCTGAGCAATGGAAGGTAAGGACTGGAAGGCAAGGTTGTCTGACAATTATATTAAACTAGTTCTGATTCCATTACCAAATGGCAGAGATTTATGACCTATGTTTCTTACAACACTCCTTGTTGGAAGTGCCAATTATAAAATTAGTCATTCACCTAGATTCATTCTACCCTGTGACAAACTTGCCTACAGTTGTACATAGGAATTAGTTATTCCTGTGTGACAGATTTGCAATGTTTACCTTCCTCCCTCAGGACTGGCCCTCAAGTAAAATACGGGCCTTGATAAAGAGTTTGAGAATAATCTGGCTACTCTTTACCTTGACAACTCCTGTTGTCATTGTACATAGTGTAGCCCTCAGGACAGGTACAGAAGTAATCGCCTGGCTCATTGATGCATCGGTGCTGGCAGAGGAAATCTGAGAAACTGCACTCATTGATATCTAGAAACAAGAACCAATATTACTTGATTAAAAACTTTAAACAGAACTCCCTTGTGTTGTATGTTTTCTCAACTTATACCAATTGGCTGTTTTTCTACTGCACTGTTATATCTGTTACTTACTTATCCTGCTCAAAAATAGCAATGTTTTGCTCTCTTCATAAAGTTAAAAAGAACTTTATTAAAACTTTATTATAAATATTTTAATAAAAGAGCATTATTTGATTATTAATACTCTGGATCTATCATTCTCTACGAATTGTACTATCGTGACGCAAACTCAAATCAGATTGGAGCCTTACACCTCAGGAAAAGCAACCATTAGTGCCAATTTTCTGGTTCAAACATAAATCACAGATGTGGAAGACCAATTGTTAAGTCAGTTTAACTCTAATTCTCTCCCTTTTTTAAAACACAAATATGCTTGCTTGCTAGATCATGCAGCCTTATCAATCAGGGTTGAACGTACATTAATAAGTAACTCTGAATAAGTAACTCAGCCAGAGTTACTGTTGCATGGAAACATTTACAAACAGAAACAAACATAATAATGGGACAGGACTTTTCCTGGGGGTGAGGATCTAGAGGCTTGGACCATTTCAAACTGCCAAATCACACCAAGGCTAAGGGTGGTGAAGGAATAAGAGTCACACACTGCGATTGCCACAGCACTGGCCAATTTAACTTTTAAGAAAAAAAATTCTTTCACAGCAAGAGGATGCCATTTTCTGCCCATTCCTACTTCCCTTGAATTGATCGGCTTGATCGGCTATTTCAGAGAGCATGGAGCTATGTTCCCTGGATGGTCGGAGGTTGAGGGGTGACCTTAAAGAAGTTTATAAAATCATGAGGGGCATGGATTGGGTAAATAGACATGGTCTTTTCCCCAGGGTAGGAGAGTCCAAAACTAGATGGCACAGGTTTAAGGGACCTAAGGTGCAATTTTTTCATATAGAGGGTAGCGCTTGTATCAAATGAGCTGCCAGAGGAAGTGCTGGAGGCTGGTACAATTACAACATTTAAAAGGCATCTGGATGGGTATATGAAAAGGAAGGGTTTTGAGGGATATGGGCCAAATGCTGGCAAATGGGACTTGATTAATTTAGGATATCTGGTTGGCATGGATAATTTGGACCGAAGGTTCTGTTTCCGTGCTGTACATCTCAATGACTCAATGACTATTTAAGCATCAACCACATTGTTATGGGTCTGGAGTCAAATATGGGCTAGGCCAGATGAGAATGGTTAGTGAACCAGACAGGTTTTCATAACAACAGCGATAGTTTCAAAATGTCCCCATAACACAGTGGTAGCATAAATTCCTCAGGGCCAGAAAGCTTGTTTTCAAGTCCCACTAGCTCCAGAGGTATGCAATAACATTGCTGCATAGCATGATTAGTAAATACAGAATCCCAATAATTGTTTCATGGAGACGAGATTACTTTTGAATTCCAGATTTATTAATCATGTCACTTATTAATCATATTAACCATGTGTCCAGAGGATTAGAAGAAGAGTCATACTGGGATGGAAATATTAGCTCTGTTTTTCTCTCTCCAAAAATGTTGGGTTTCTCCAGCACTTTCTGGTTTCATTAACCCAACCCTAGTCTGGGCTTCTTGATCACATCACTAGACATGACGGTCTAATTAATGGTAAATTAGTGGCCAAATGACAGGCATGTCCTGAAACTGGACAGCCAGAGACCTTCCACTTTGAAAGTAACAGCAGGCTGCAACAGGAAGTGGGTAAGGGAGAGGGTGCCTCAAAAAGTCAGTGTCTTATCTCCAAATTTATTAAATTCAAATTTTAAAAATGGGTCCTGCAAAGGAATGGCTCAATGGATGGATGATGGTTGCTCCTACACAACACAGGCAGGGAGGGAGGGACAGCCTTAGGCCCTGCCTGGGACATTGCACAAAACCACCTCCCATCTGCCAACATAGGGTGGGCAATGGCCTAGTGGTATTACTGCTGGACTATTAATCCAGAGACCCAGATAACATTCTGGGGACCCAGGTTTGAATCCCACCACTGCAGATGGTGGAATTTGAATTCAGTAAAATATTTCAGGTTAAGAATCTAATTATGACCATGAATTCACTGTTGATTTTTGGGAGAAACCCATCTGGTTCACAAATGCCCTTTAGGGAAGGAAACTGCCATCTTTACCTGATCTGGCTGACATATGACTCCAGTCCCACAGCAATGTGCCTCTGGCCAATTAGGGATGGGCAATGAATGTTGCCTAGCCAGCAACGCCCTCATTCTGTTAATGAAAGAATAAAAAAAGAGGAATCCACTCCAGGGAAGTTATATGACTACCTGGCATCTGGAAAATCCCAGTCGGCCTCCTTTAATTAAGCCCTTATGGAGTAATATTGGTCTTCAGATCAGAATAAAGGCCCCTCGGCCGATCAAGTCTGTGCCAGTTAAAAACAAGCACCTCACTATTCTAACTCATTTGGCCCATAGCCTTGCCATCACATAAGTTTTGGTTGTGGCGTTCAATTGTTCTGTGTCCTACCCATTCCAGAGATGTGAACAGGTTGATTAGAAAATATTTTAAATTCTGTCTGATTACTTTGCTGTGAATCACCTCAGGAAGTTTTAGTACATTAAAAGGCACTGTTAAATTGCAGATTCTTACTGTAATTTATTATTTATGTTTTCATTTCTGCAAAGGCTTATATTTTAGCCTCAAAGCAAAATGTTTTATATATGCAAACGTTCTTTTTCTAAATGAGTTCAGATGGCTAAAATGGCCTCTTTCACTCATTATTAACTTGTACGCAGGGAAAATGTCCATTTATGCAGTGTGTTGCAGATCAGTGAAAATTTATGCCGCAATATAGTGTTTGAAACAGCTAACAATTTGAATTCAGCAATGCAAATAATTCAACTTCATCAGCTTAGAAAGATTAATTAGATAATTTAAATAAATGGACTTTTAATTCATTTCACCAGAACTACAAAGTAGATCAAAGTTCAATTGTAATTCAAAAATATAAATATTACATCTTTTTAAAAGAAAATAATATAAACCAAGAATTTTTAACACAATGCCTGCAATAGTCATGAGCTGTGCTCGAGTTTCCGGCAAATGATAAGTATTGTGATAGAGAGGCCACAAGGTGGCAGCTTTCAGCATTACAAGTATTGTGTTAGGTTAAATATTATCTTTTCTGATTCTCTTTCCCCGCAATTTCTTTTACAAACTTTTAAAAGACAAATCAGAAGAAATGTGTTAACTCTTCTGTTTCTTCCTTTCACCTCATATTTAAGACACCATTTGCTCTTTTTTGTTACATAACAAGTATTCTGATCACCAACAGGATGGATTGTGGAGGTGAAATTTCCCAGGACGCAGAGGAGGTACAGGAGGCCCAGAGTCTATCATCCTCAATGCCATTTCCTCTAGATGATCAGTTCTGCCGCAGACTGAAGACATCCCAGGACACTGACACTGAACTGCTGGAGTAAGACCTGCAACCTGTACAGCAGGTGGCCATGTCATCCCAGTGTCCATCAAGGTGCTCTTTGTTTCTTTGTTCTTTTATGCTAATGGATGCCTCCAACGATCTACTGGGGATCTATGAGGGATCTCTCAACCCCCAACTACAAACGCATCAAGGCTGTTACCAATATAATTTGTACCGGATCACACTGCCTAATCTCACTTCCTGCCACTTGGGCAGTAGGCTTTGCCAAATTAGTTGGTATCCCCCAGACACAGAGTGCTATAGACTAAACAACTGAGGCCATCTCATAATGCAGCAGTCTTCATCACCAGAAAAAGTTTCCATCCCATTAAAATACAAGTCTTCTGTGATCATTGGTACCACATCCTAGATATCTTCACCCAGGGAGCTACCATGATGTCAAATCCTTGAGAACTCAGATGTTCCTGCTTAATTCCAAGTGCCAGATCTCACAAAAGGTAGTTACTGAGAGATAAGGGCTCTGCAACCATGGATGATAACTCTGTTTTGCAAGCCCCTGACTGAGGCTGAACATTGATACAATCTTCAATCAGGGTCATTGTGAAACTCACCATAAGTCTGCAAAAGATGAGGCTCTGATGCATAGATCAGTCTTGAGTAATAATGGCATGCTGTGCTCTACACCACCGTAGCAGGCAAAGAAGGGATGTGATAGACTTTGAAGAGTTAGGAAAGTGGCACAGGTCTTCCGAGGAGTAAGATGGGGATATGAGCAAGAATAACATTACCTTCAGTGTGATACAGCACTGCATTGTCAGAGATAACAATCCAGACAGGAGTTAAATGATATTCAGTTCCAGTAGATGTGAGCTGGGTGCAGTGATCGTTCATTGACTGTGATCTGTTATTAATCGAAAGGCAAGCAGCCTCTGTTTGTTCCCAGAAGCAAATGCAACAGTTTCTGTTTGTTTTCTTTCTTTGCTCTTGATGCTGTTCAATAAAAGTTAAAGTTTTCTATCCTTTGTAGACTTTCCGGTTTGTGCTTGTCCCAGACTGAACAATGAGAAACTGTATGCCATACTGCGCAGTGGAGAAGGAGTAGACAGGTTTCTAAAGATAGTAAGGGTGGGCAGCCTGTGCAGTTCTTTTTCTCGCATCTGAGAGTCAATCAGACCGTGATGAGTGAAACAGCAATACAATTATAAATGTGAGCTTGTATTTGCAATGAAATGTTACCCATGCCACTTATGTACCCTTAAAAGTTTTCTTTTGCATTCCCCTCCTACTACATGGACTGTGATAGACAACCTCTGGTTGGCACTGTTTGACCTGATGCATGACTAGGGTTTAAATAAGGCACCAAAGCCAGGAGATCCATTCAGTGGTGAGTATGTTCACTGCTGATGAGCACACAACTGCACAAGCATATAGAGATAAGGTGCATACAAAATAAGCAGAGCTGTGGAGGACTGTGTGAGAAATTCACTACAGCCCTCACAGAGAAACTGTTCATGAAACTCCCCAAGATCAACTCGAGGCTGCTTTTTTATAAAATTCA